GAGGGGGAGGCGGAGGAGGGAGGAGGAGGAGGAGGAGGATGGAGGAGGAGGAGGAGGAGGGGAGAGAGGAGGAGGAGGAGGAGGTGGCGCAAGATCAGGAAGGAGGAGAGAGTAGAGGAGAAGGAGGAGGAGGAGGAGGAGCAGGAGGAGGAGGAGGAGGAGCAGGAGGAGACCTGATCCGTCCGTGGACACCCGCCGATCCCCCACACTACCCATAGATGACATGAACATCGGATTCGTTGTTGTCGGTCTGAGAGCGCACGCGTGGAGTGAGAGGGCAAGGAGGGGAAGGCATATGAGGAGGAGGAGGAGGAGGAGAAGGAGGAGGAGGAGGGGGAGGAGGAGGGACAGGGGGAGGAGGAGGGACAGGGTGAGGAGGAGGAGGAGGTGGAGGAGGAGGAGACGGACCAGTGTAAACCCAAGACGCATCAACGATGTGGGAATCAACCCTCCCTCTAAGCTCCCTCTCCATAGGCCCAATGCATGGAGTCATTCCCAATGGGGGAAGTGCTCGGTTGGAGACAACTGTATGAAAATCCTGAAGCGTGCCAAAAGGCAGTCACTGTGACTTCAACGCCGCGAATCAGCCACCTTCAAGTTGCGCCTTGCCGGTCCTGAATATTGCCAGAACGCCAGTCCTGGCACTGCAGCACCGCGAACGTACGTAACGGCTGCGCCCTGGCAACCCTCCTAAATCGTGTACAAAAATAGGCCCAATGCATGGAGTCATTCCCAATGGGGGAAGTGCTCGGTTGGAGACAACTGTATGAAAATCCTGAAGCGTGCCAAAAGGCAGTCACTGTGACTTCAACGCCGCGAATCAGCCACCTTCAAGTTGCGCCTTGCCGGTCCTGAATATTGCCAGAACGCCAGTCCTGGCACTGCAGCACCGCGAACGTACGTAACGGCTGCGCCCTGGCAACCCTCCTAAATCGTTACAAAAACAGCTCTGTTACTTTAGCCATGCGAACCCCCCCAAAAAATCGTGTATATCTGAAGACGACGAGTGTGCGTGGCGCTAAGGCGAGAGCCACAGGTGAGCCGCCCTCCATCCGTGAGACACTTGCATCTGTTCAGACGACTGTGCGCGGCGTTATGGCGAGAGCCACGCATTTTGAAAACAGCCCACCCTTCATCAGTGAATATGCTGCAAAGTGTTGAAACGAATGCGCGCGGCGCTAAGGCGAGAGCCACAGTTAGAAAACGGCCCGCCCTCAACCCGCGAAGCTCTGGCAATGTTTGAAACACATGTGCGCCGCGCTACGGCGAGAGCCACATGTTGAAAACGGGCGCGAAGTTCGTGGAAAGCTTTAAGACGAATTTGTGCGGCACTAAGGCGAGAGCCACATTTTGAAAGCCACCCGCCCTCCATCCGTGAAGTTGCTGCAAATATCAATACAAAGGATCATAATCGGTGAGGAAGTCTCAGGCGAAACGCCCAGCCGCGCTTCCGACCGACTTCGGGGTGCGACAGGAAGGAGCTACTTATCAGGAGAAGGAGGAGGAGGAGGAGGAAGAGGAGAAGGAGGACGAGGGAGGAGGAGGATGAGGAGGAGGAGGCGAAGGCGGATGCGGAGGGGGGGGGGCGAGGGAAAGGAGAAGGGGTAGTGAAAGGTGAAGGATAGCCAGGACGAGGGAGACGAATGAGGAGGGGGGAGTGGAGGAGGAGGGGGTGGAGGAGGAGGAGGAGGAGGAGTAGGAGGAGGAGTAGGAGTAGGAGGAGGAGGAGGAGCAGCAGGAGGAGCAGGAGGAGGGGGAGCCCAGGGGGAGGAGAAGGACCAGTTCCCCTCCCCGCTCTCCCCTCCCCTTCCCCTCCTCCCTTCCTCCTCCTCCTCCTCCTCCCCCTCCTTCTCCTCCTCCTCTTCCTCCTCCTTCTCCTCCTGTCCTCCTCTTCCTGGATCACATGCCAGGTGTATTATCAGGGCAGCCGCCAGCCAGACGACATGGTCAGGTGGCCCCGCCCAGCCGCCTCTGCCCTCGTCGCTGGCCTTCGCGCGTCTCAGCGAGCGCTGTCGTGAAGGGGAGGGGGACGAGGAGGAGGAGGAGGAGGAGGAGCAGGAGGAGGGAGGAGGAGGAGGAGGAGGAGGAGGAGGAGGGTGGCAAATTCAGTACGCTCTTCCTGCCATCAGGTAGTCAGGTAATCAAGAGGCGGAGGAGGAGGATTGGGTTGGATCAGACCGGGCAACCCTTGGAGATCAGGTCAAGCCTGGACACAAGTATCAATCAAATCTGGGGGAGCAACCAGGAAACCCGCTCGACAAGCGCGAAGCCACTTCCCTCCCAGCTTGGGTGGGAGGACGACACGGGCAGCCAAAGTGCCGAGTGCCACAGGCCTCGCAACACAGCACGCCCCGAAGAACGCTCAACCTGCGGCCAGAACAACGTTCAGACTCGCATGGTAGCCCTGCACACACGTGGCCGAGAACAAGAGGCCCGAAGCATCCCCTCAAGCAAGAAATGCTGGCCACGCAAGCGACATCTGAGAGCGCCCTCCACCCTCATGTCGGAGGCCACGATGGGGGCGAATAGCCCAGGGGCGGGCATTGCAAGTATCCCTCCGGGAGCCTCTCCGAAAGCGTGGACCATCGGCGCCCTTGGATACAGTGGAAGCCCAAGCCAAGAGACATCCTGCTTGCCTCCAGGGTGCCCTGGGTTTCTTGGGTGTCGATGGTTTCGCTATGGAAAGCGTGACGTCCCCACACCAAAAATCAATAGACGTCCTGGGGTCTCAGGGTTGGGTTTCTTGTGGAAGGGTTCTTGTGGTCGAGCTCCTACTGTACATATGTCGCTCTGCCCTGGGCTATTCGCCCCGTCGTCGCCAACGACTGTCCCACACGAAGCCTCGCCCGCCAACGTGCCAAGAAGGCAAGGGCAGTGGGCGGGACGGAGAGCGGCCGAGCTTGTCAGAAGCACGTCCAGGATTGCCTCTTGGGGCCGTCTCGGACTTTCTCGGGGCCCTCGTGGGGCCTCTTGAAACCTTCTTGTGAATGGTTGTTGGAGCTTCGAAGAAAGACTGCATAACTAGGTTGGCCAGCGTGGACTCCTAATAGTGTGCTTCTAGCAAGATGTACATATATTGACACACATACACAGATCTATACACATATATATATATATATATACATAGATATATAATCAATACTTGAGCCACCGCGCGGCCCAGGTCGCTGCCTGCGGCCTGCATTCGCCTGCAGGTGAGCAGACCTGCTGCCTCTCAGGGCAGCTTCTGCGTCATGGCTTGCACGCATGTGGCCTGCCGGCTTTTCGGCGCACTGCCCGCGATGGCCGACGAGCAGGGCAGATGCCGAGGCTGCGGGCAGGGACTTCCTGGACATGCTGTCCAACAGGATCTGCCCAGTGGCCTCTCTTAGGTCGTCGGGGACCTGCACATCGCCAGCGAGAACCAGGACAGCATTGAGGTTGATGAGGGTAGGGGGGCCACGCCAGCCTTCTACTCGAAGCTTCTCAGCGACTGGGTGGAGGAGGGCATCTTCCAGCATCTCACACTCGCGCAGGCCGCTGGCGTCACTGACCCTGCCATGGCCGCTCTCCCGATCGAGTACCCGGACAATCTCGACTCCTTAATGCCCATCCTCTCGAAGTTGGGCTACCGCCCTGATGCCGCGGACCCATGGGAGATGCTAGGATTCGCGAAAGTGGACGGCCCCGACCCTTCAGAACAAGGGCTGGCCTCACGGGGGCGTGCGGCTCGCTCCCTCCTCACGCTGGCTCTCCATGGTGAGTGGGAGGCATCGGAGCGCCTCGCTGCCCGGTCACTCGCAGACAGATTTTCGCAGGCAGTGGAGAGGTGCGAGGAGGGCTTGCCGGCAGTGCTGCAGGCCCGGCGGCGGATCAAGCTTGCCAATCTCCCGCTGCACAAGGAGCTAGGCCAGGACGCGATCAAGCTGGTCATCTCCACCGCGCAGGTCCCGAACCTCCAGCTCTACACGCAGTGGTCCAACATGCTTCGCTGCGCATCCCCACCCTCGGCATCAGTCGTTGATTCCCGGGCTTTGGCCACCATGGCGGAGAAAGGGGACGATAGAGTCTGGGACAGCGTGGCCGGGAAGTACGTGGCTATGTGGGCTCCGTCCGACCCTAGTGCACTTCCCGGTGCCTCGCATCATTTCTCCGCCGCGCTGCTGAAGAGTCTAGGCCCGCCACGCTCATCTTCTTGTCCACTATCCCGTGCACCGCAGGTATGAACTCGGTCCGCAACATCACCGACATATGGTCTTCTCCCATGTTGTCCGAGAAATGGATGGCGATCGTTCGGGACATCGCGTTCGTGTCGTTCCCTTTCGAGATGGTTCTGCCTGGCCGTTACGGCTCGCCGAAGCACGACAAGTATGGCCTCGCCATGTTCTCCCTGCGGCACTCGGGCCCACGTGGCGTCCCACGCATGATCCACACGAGCTCCATCTTGCAGGTTGAGGACTTCGCCGCCGCCACTTTCGACATGTGCGCGGACAGCCTCACCTCTTTTTTGGCGTTGGGCCAGCTGCAGTGTCTCGAGGGGGCGTCGTTTAGATCACACCGGCGCAGCCCTCTCTCCAGCAAGGACATCCCTCGCATTGCGATTGACGTCATCTTCCATCCCAGAACAACGGAATTGGAGCAGATGCTCGTCTTAAAGTTCTTGCGTGCGCAGCATCTTCCAGCTTCCACTTTCTTCGGTTTCAAGTCCATGACGGGTTCCGCGGACGCGATGATCTTGGAGTGCAACGGGCACAACGTGTTCCAGCACTATTGGCCGCTGTGCTCACAGATGCTGCCCCTAGGGGCCTCCAGGTTCTTAGTCTTTTCCGATTCCTCGGCTGAGACGTGGGCACGTGTTTTGGATACTATTTACCAGGCCGACAAGGACAACGCAGCAACCCGACTGAAGTGGAAGCCCTCGCGCAATGGGGGCCGGGTCTTCGCCACTCCTGTTGCCACCTCGGTCCAGTTGGCTGCCCAGAAACGGCGGGGCGCTGAGGCTGCCTCGATCTCCGACTGCATCGCGGACATCATCGTCAAGGGCGACCTCGGCCGGGAAGATGCACTCGTGCTCGACCGCCTGATGAACCACGTGTGCGGGGTCACGGGCCTCTCGTTATCCAAGGCCGTGGACATGGACCACCCCGAGCCTGGGGAGTTCTTCCACTTGGCTTCCCGCGACGCGCACGCGCCCTCTGGGGTCATCAAGGTTCTGGCCAACAGCACGGACGACATCAGGAAGATCTACGCGGCGCTCCACGGCCAGGCGATGCAGGTCGGCCATGACATGGTCGGGATCGAGGTCTGCAACGATCTTCTCACTCTCAGTGCTGGCCAGGGAAACGGCTCGAGGGGTCGGCAGTAGACGCCCTCCGCCCCCTGCGTCTTCCGGGGCATCGTTCACAGACAGGCTGTGATTTTGGAATTCGTTGCATTGATTATTTGGGCCACGAGAGCTTCTACGTCCTCGTCGTCTTTCGGCTCCGTTCGGGGTCCCCCGAGCATAGTCGTGCTGACCGCCACGGTGCAGGTCATCTCCCTGGTCCTCCTCGTCCCCCTTGTGCTCCACGCGTTGCTGATGATCCAGCCGATCGACTTCTGCCTCGTCTACCGCCTTTGATTTTCGGGGACGGAACTCCTCCCCGAGTGCATGACAAACGACTGCTTGCATGACGTCCCCGTCCACATCTATCGACGCCGGCGTCTGCTTCGCGCCGTTGGCGCCGCTGCTGCCGCCCGCATCTACCCCCCTCCTCGGTCCACTCCGGCGCCTCCGCCAGCCGCGACATCTCGCCGGGGCGGGCAGTTCTGCGGCGATTTCTCGGCGGTGCTGTGGAACACGCAGGCCCTCTTCGCAACGGACCCGTTCAGACATGCAGCCAAGGGCTCCTACGTGTCCAAGCTCATGGGCAAGGCGGACATCGGCCTCTTCACGGAGACCCACGGCACCGAGGAGGGCAACAGCACGCGGCGTACTCCTCCAGGCACCGTGGCATTTTGGTCCCAGGGCCCCACCACAGGTCACGCGGGGGTCGGGATCGTGGTGCGGAGCACTTTCCTGAGCCTTTTCGACGCCACCCCCGAGCTTGTCCACATCTGGCGCGGCCGTGCTGCCATGCTCCGGTTACGGGGCCCGCTCGGCTCCCTGGACATCGTGGTCTCGTACTTCCACACGGGCTCAGATCTGACGGAGCACGACCTCCATGGTTTGGAGCCGCATTTGCGATCATCGGCCACTTCTTTCCCTGCCCTCCAGGCGCTTCTCCGCTCCCGGATCGCCGACAGCTTGGCCGATTCCCAGGACGTGCTCACGATCTTCGGCGGGGATTTCAATTACGTTACCTCTTCCGACGACAGGGTGTCGCTTAACTCGGGCGGAGCCTCTGGTCGACGTGACGGGGGCGACGAATCGCATTTCCGATCTGTCCTCGGTTCCCCGTTTGCCCCCCACGAGATGTTCCAAGGGGGGCCCACGCACGCTTCGGCCAGCGCGCGCTCCCGGCTGGACCGAATCTATTGCAACCAGCATGTGGCCGAGCAGCTTGATCGGCAGCTCCGGGTGTCTGCTCTCGAATGGCGCCACGACTTATCGCACCACCGCGCTGTGTTCTTCTCCCGCCACGCCCCGCAGAGACCCCCAGCCAACGAGCGCTGCATATCCAGGCTCGCCTTGGAGCATGAGGACTTCCCACGTCGCCTCGCGCTCGAGAACTTCGACGCGCTCCAAGGCAACCCGTCGACGTCTGCCCTGGGAAGGCTACGCATGTTTAAGAATTGCATCCGCGCCGTTGCTGAGCGCCTGGACAACGAGTTGCGGAGGCCGCCGGCCGCGGAGTCCCTAGAGGACAGGATTGGGGTCACTATGAAGTTCATCCAGGCCTCCGAGAAAGGATACTGTAATGACATCTCAGCCTGCCTGGTCCGGTACCCAGTGCTCCAGGACTTGGTGGGCAACCCGCACCACGTCCACGGCAATTTGTCCCGGCACCTCCAGAGAGTCAAAGACCACGTGGTCCAGCTCGCCCGCGAGCACGCGATCGACGAGCTGGGAAAGTCGCACACGGACCTGACGGGAGGAAACGAGCAGCGTGCCAGGCAGGCCCGACAGAAGAATACGCGATTGATTTTTCGCACCGCGCCAGGTCGGACCTGCAATCTTGGGGCGGTGCAAACCCGGCGCGGAGAGGTGGTCGTCGAGCCGAGCGCCATGGCTTCTGAACGTCCCCGACACGACCCTGCGCGACCTCCGCCTGGAGCGGGAGCATGTCCGCGAGGCCGTGCTGAGCTCGAACAATTCCGCACCAGGCCCGGACGGCATTCCATTCCTCGCTTGGCGCCGAGCTGTGAACCTGTCTTTCGAGGTCCTCTTCGACGCCGCCCAGGCGATGTGCGGGGAGGGAGGCCCTGACCTCACGAGCGAGGAATACGAGGACTTCAACAACAGCTTGCTCTTCTTCTTGCCGAGAAAGCTCTCAGGCCACACCCCCACGGGGGAGGGGCATGACGAAGTCGGGAACGTTCGCCCGCTCAACGTGACGAACACCGACAACCGGCTCCTCGCCAACGCGGTTCGTTTGGCGATAGAGCTCTTGGTGGGCTCCCAGGTCTCCCCAGTCCAGCGGGGTTTCATTGGGGGCCGGTCGATGCTCGCCAACCTGGTGGATATTGACGAGGCCATGGCCAGCGGCGCATGTTCTTCGGAGGACGGGGGCGCCATGTTCTACGACTTCGCGGCGGCGTTCCCTTCGGTGGAACATGAGTTTATGCATGAAGTGTTCCGAGCCTTGGATAGGCCTGCTTGGTTGCTCAGCTTCGTCTCCGTGCTCTATGCCAACAACCAGTGCCAGATCGTCCTGGGCGGCTGCCGACACTGCGGTTTCGCGATCAGCAGGGGCATTCGGCAAGGCTGCCCGCTGTCGCCGCTCCTGTTCGCCGTCGCGGAGGACGTCCTATTGAGGAGGCTCGTTCGGCTGATCCCTGACGGCACCCTCAGAGCATACGCGGATGACACGGCATTTGTGCACCCCAGCATCTGGAAGGTCATCGGCCGCCTCCAGGCCATTTTCGAGGAGTACGAGCGCATTTCGGGGCTGGCGCTCAATGTGTCCAAGACGGTGCTGGTTCCGCTCAGCCAGTTCGATCCGGCCATCATTCGTGCGCGCTTGGCGGTGCTCGCGCCCCTTTGGGGGGCGTTGATTGTGGACTCGAAGGCAAAGTATCTGGGTCTCTACGTTGGCCCCGGCCGGGGCCTTCTATCATGGGAGGCCGCTTTGAAGAAGTTCACTGAGAGGGCGCGGCTATGGGGCACGTTGGGTTTGGGATTGTTTCACACGGTGGACGCCTACAGGGTCTTCGTCTCCTCCGTGCTGATGTTCGTTGCCCAGCGTGATCCAATGCCTCCTAATTTCGCAACTTCGAGTCCAGCGCCTGCCGCTCACTCTTCCGAGGCCCACCCGGCTGGATGTCGACAGGGTTCTTAAAGGGCATGAAGGTCGCAGCGTTTCCGATCGAGCTCCCAGACATGCAAGTCTCCTCGCCGGCTGCCCGCGCCCGCGTCGCGGCCCACGAAAACGCTGGCCATGGAGGACTGCAGATCGCTCGGCGGGCCCGCTCTTGGAGGCTGGCGATCGCGAGCGCGGGCGGCCATTTCTGCCCTGCCTACTGCGCGGAGTGGTTTAGCGGTTGCTTCGTCTTCTCGTTAGTCACGGCTTCGGCGAGGCTATGGGAGGCGGGGCCAGTAGGCAGGCTCATGTTGCAGGCTGGGCACGAAGAACACAGACGGATTGGATGGCAGGCCCGTGCCATCAAACTCCTGAGTGCCCGCAAAGACCTCGAGGTTCAACGGCATGCTCGCCGCCGACTGGACCAATGGCACATCCAAGTTCTGCAAGAGCACCGCGTTGCGAGATGGTTGCAGACGATGCGGGACTCTTCCACATACCTCCCGCCGCGTGTCAAAGCACGCCAGTTCCGTACGGCTCTCAACGGGTGGTCTGCCAACCGGAGGTCGCAGGGTTGCGTCTTGGGCTGCCCCGGCTGCCCCGACACCCTGGATCATTATGCAGCTTGCACTTGCTACCATGCTCTTTGCCGACGCTGGCTGGGGCTCTGCAGGCCTCCCGTCGACAGCTGCCTCGCGGACTTCCTCGGCATATTGCCGTCGCTGGCCTCAGCGCCCAGCTGGCGCGACTGGGGCGCGGCTCAGGCAGCTGCGCTTCGAGCAATCGGGGTCTACGCCCTGCACCGGATCCACAACAGCGTCTGGCACCAGGGGGGCGCTTCAGATCTGACAGGCCTTTTCCGCGGCCTCGTGTGCGAAGGTGTCCGGGGACACGCACAAGCGATGTCCTTAGTTTCTTCCGCTTTCAAGCGTCCCCGACGAGTCCCTGAATGAAGGACGACCGGCGTGCGCACTTTTTCGGGCCGGCCGGAGAGCCCGTGCGTTTCCTCTCTTCCTCCCTCCGCCCTCCCTTCTCCGAATCGCGGCGCCGATTTGTTAGTCCAGGCTGGCTGGACAGCGGGACGCCGTGGTGCCCGGGTGGAGCTTGCAGCGCGCTCTGTCCTGCGAGCGTGGCCGAACTTCCCGGCTCAGATTTCGTCACTTTTTCTGTCCTGGCCACGTGGCCGATGGTACACACAGTTGGAGTCAAAACTGTGTAGCCCAACGCGGGGCGGAAATTCGTGCAGTTATGTCCCGTGCCGACGCCGGCACGTTGGCCCCCCCCAGGGGCCCCACGCCCAGGGGGCAGGGGACCGCCTCCCCTTCCGTCGGCGTCGTCGTTGTCGCCGTCGCCGTCGCCGTCGTCGTCGTTGTCTGCGTCGTCGTCGTCGTCGTTGTCGTCGTTGTCGTCGTCGTCGTCGTCGTCGTCGGGTGGCGGTTCGCTGTCGTCCTTGGGTGTGTGGCCCCCCACGGGGGTGGCACCCGAGGCAGCGGTCTCGGCTTTCTCTTTGCTTTCCTTCCTCCTCCTCTTCCTCCGCCTCCCTCTGTGATGCTGCGGCCTCTGGACGACCAAGTCCCCAAGCAGCTATCCGGCCACCTAGCTGCGGCCCCATGTCGTCACTCATTTGCAATGTCGGGTGTACCGGCCCATCCGCCAAATTTGAGCGTGCCGGCCCATCCGCTTTCGCACGGCAGAGGGATGTCTCTTGGCGTTGGGGGGGCATGATTTGTCCGCTCCCCTCTTCGGCTGGTATCGGCCACGCGGCCGGGACAGAGTGGTGTAACGCCCTCCGCGGCGGTTGTCATGTAGCAGTATTTTCGTCATCCTTTCCTCTTCCCTCTCCTTGCCTCCCTCCTCCTCGCCCTCCCTCCGCCCCGCTCCTATTCCTCCGATCCGTGGTACCGTTTTGAAGTGGTCCCGTGCCTGCTATGCCAGGTCCCCAGCAACGACCAGTTGGAGCGCCACCGTCACGCTGGTGCGTTCTCAACTTTTGGGGTCGCGGCCGTGTCATAGAACAAATCATAATTTGCATGTTAATTGCATGTTCCATGAGGATGGCCAGAGAGGGGCCGTGTATATGTGCATTTGATTGCCCGTACCTGTGGGCCGCCCCCAGCTCTGGGGGTCGTTCCAGTCTCGCGCCGTCGTTGCCGTAGGCCCAACTCTTTGTCGGCATGGTCTCACTACTTGAACAAGCTTCCGTTCGAAAAACGCTCGGTCCTGTTGGTATCGTGCGCTCGCTGTTGCCTCTGTCTGCTGCAGGGGGTTACCTAGCTCATCAGTGCATTTATCTCTTCAGGTACTGTGTTATATGTGTCTCGCTCTCCTCCTCGGCCTCCCCTCGTTCGCCCTCCTCCCCACTTGCGTTGGGCACCAGTGCGAGTCCCGCCAGTATGGACAGGTCTGGGGTACGCACGCGCGAGTTTACACTTTAGCCGCGATTTCATTGAGGCATCCGCGCGTCGGTTGTGGAAATCTGCCATTACAGTTGTATAGCTTTTTTCCGCTTGTTTCATGTCGGCTTGAGCGTTTTCAGCCAGTAGTCGCAGATTGCCCCGAGTGAGACGGGTGGTGAATTGCTGATCGATGGTTCGCGTCCTCTCCTCTGCCCTCCCTTCCCCTCTCCAAAATAGTTGCGCGGAGAATATATATATATATATATATATATATATATATAATCAATAGCCCCCCCCCTGGCCTGGGCCAGCCGACCCCGCAACCATCGGCGGAAGCCCGCTAATACCCCCCCCCCTGTTTCGCTCCCAGAGGCGGCCCGGAGAGGCCAAGAGGGTGCCAGAACGAGCCAAGAGGGTTCCAAGAGGCCGCCAAGACGGCACAAGAAGTTCCCGAGCTGCCCAATACGGCCCAGGAGGACTCCCAGAACACTCCCAAGAGGGACCCAAGAGGCCCAAATCATTAAATTCCCATGGGGAAACGTACATGTTTAGCGTGTGCGATTTTTCAGCATTTTTTCAGCATTCGCGGCGTTCAAGACCGTCCAAAAGGCTCCCAAGACTTCCCCAAGACAACCCAAGACGTTCCCAAGAGGCCCCCGAGCCAGCCCAAGAGGGCGCCAAGACGGCCAACGGGCCGTCCGTAGCCATTTTGGCTCAAGCAACATCCTGATCTGGTGCTTGCATCACACGAAACTTCACTGGCTAGCTAACTCTTCTGTCGTTCGCGGAAGCAACCTGCTTCGATCTGTCTGATGGCGGCCCAGAAGGCCTCCTGCATCGTGTGGTTGGTCGGGCTGCTGGCCCACAGCGTGCCAACCGCAGCTTTACACGGGGCCCAATCTCAGCGCGACGGGAGATCTGATGACGTCACCCGCGACTGAGACCTCTGCGTGGTCCTGCACCTCGATCGGGGCGGGCAGCTTCTCCGCCCAGTACAACTCCTACATCTCTGGCAGCACCATCGTTGTTACCAACAATGCGGGAAGCCAGCGGGGGCGAGCATACTACACGTGGGCGAACACGGGGGGGTTCAGGATCAGTTTCGACATGTACCAGGGCGGTGGGACAGGCGCTGACGGTATGTGCATGAAGTACGGAGGTTATGATTATGGCGAACAAGGCGAGCTAATCGCCGGGAATGGCTTTTCTGTATGTTTTGACTCCTACGACAACGGCAACGATCATGGCGTGGTGATGGGATGGAATGGCGCGATCATATTTTCAGAAACAGGCACGGGATACTGGAGTCACCAAGTTCCCCTCTTCGAGGATTCCACTTGGCACAATGTAGTGGTGCAGGTCACGCCCAGCGGCAGCGGAGCTAATGTGATACTGAATTTTGACAACGGTTACTACTACAAAACTGCGTGGATCAGTAGCTTCTCATCGCCAGTTGGTAGCCAACAGGTAGCCTTCACTGCAAGAACTGGTGGTTCTACCAACTGGCACTATGCCAAGAACGTCCAGGTGTGCAGCGTTGCGACTCCGAGCCCAACGCCGTACCCGACACCGTACCCGACGCCGTACCCGACGCCGTACCCGACGCCGTACCCGACGCCGTACCCGACGCCGTACCCGACGCCGTACCCGACGCCGAACCCGACGCCCAACCCGACGCCCAATCCGACGCCCAACCCGACGCCCAACCCGACGCCCAACCCGACGCCTTACCCGACGCCGTACCCGACGCCATATCCAACGTCGTACCCGACGGCCTTCCCGACGCCGTTCTCGACGACATACCCAACGCCGTACCCGACGGCCTTCCCGACGCAGTACCCGACGGCCTTTCCGACGCCGTACCCGACGGTCTTCCCGACGCCGTACCCGACGGCCTTTCCAACGCCCTTCCCGACGGCCTTTCCGACGGCGCTCCCGACGCCCAGCCCGACGCCCAGCCCGACGTATCCTCCAGGTTGGCCGACGCCACATCCGACGTTTCCCGCGGCGCCCGTGACCGGCGGCGCAGCTGGCGGAGGCGCGGCTGCCATTGGCGACCCCCACCTTCAGAACGTTCATGGCGAGCGGTTCGATTTGATGCAGCCGGGCACACATGTTCTGATAAACATTCCCCGTGGAATGAGCGCTGAGAATGCAATGCTTCGTGTGCAAGCCGACGCACGACGACTGGGCAAACCTTGCGCGGATATGTATTTCCAGGAAGTGAACGTTACAGGGTCTTGGGCAGAGGCCAAGCGAGCAGGAGGATATCATTACAGCGTATCGCAGAGCGCAGCCGATACTCCAGAATGGGTTGCGTTTGGTACGGTTCAGCTGAAAATCGTTCATGCACGTACGGGCAATGGCCTGCAGTATTTGAATGTTTACGTCAAGCATTTAGGGCGAGCAGGGCTTGCCGTAGGAGGTCTGCTTGGCGAAGACGACCACAGGGACGTGATGATTCCAACAGCGTCTTGTGTCAAGCATACGTTCCTGTCAGAAGCGAGCAGCCAGATTCTTCCCTCCGTGTCGTCGGTTGCAATAGCAACCTTCGCGTGAGCATACGATGCACCTCGGAATATTAGTATTTGAGAATGAGGGATTGTATTTTGGCCTGTGTCCCGGCCCGACCTTCTCTTGGCGCTAACGACTTCCCACACTCGGTTCCAGGAGCTGGTGGCAAGCTTTCGTTTGGATTCGCATTATTCTAGCAGAAATTACAACGTGTTGAATGTCATAATTCATAACACGTGGCGTGATAGTACGAGTGAGAGTACAATCGCACCGTTGGCTGTTGCCTACCTGACTTCGCACTGGATCTCACTGACTTCAGAAAAAAGACGGCCAAAGGGCCGCCTAAGACGGCCAAGTTGGCCCCAAAACGGCGCCCAAGACGGCCCAAGAAGGCCCCGAGTCGCCCAAGACTGCCCAATATGGCCCCAAGAAGGTCCAAGAAGGCTCCGAGACGTCCCAAGAGCCTCCAAGAGCACTCCCAGGAGGGCCCCAAGAAGCCACAATCGTTGAATTCCTACGGGGAAGCGTACATGTTTATCACATGCGACTTTTCGGCCTTCACGGCTTCGAAGACGGCCCAAGAGGCTCCCAAGACTTGCCCAAGATAGCTTAAGACACTCCTAAGAGGCCCTCAAGACAGCCCAAGAGGGGGCCAAGACGGCCCAAGGGCTGCCCAAAACGGCCCATGTTAGCCCCAAAACGGCGCCCAAGACGGCCCAAGAAGGCCCCGAGTCGCCCAAGATTGCCAAAGATGGCGCCAAGAAGAAGGCTCCGAGACGTCCCAAGAGGCCTCCAAGAGCACTCCCCAGAGATTTATTTATGTGTATATATATATATATATACACAAATGGGGAGGGGTCCCTGGGGCCCCAGAGTGCACCGCGTTCTCTTCCGGCCGTTTCGGGCCCGGCGGGGGGCGCGAACAAAAACGTCAAATGGGCGACTGGAGGGGCCAAGAGACGTCTAAGAGGGCGCCAAGATGGCCTAAGAGCGCTCCAAGAGAGCCCAAGACCACACAACATTGGTCCAACATGGCTTGAAGACAGCCCAAGAGAGCTTCAAGTCCAAGACAGCCCACGAGGCCCCAGAAGTTAGCTCAAGACGGCCCAAGAGGCACCCATAGAGGGCGCCACGACGGCGCAAGAGAGTCCCAAGACGGCCCATGAGCGCCCCAAGACGGCCCAAGAGGCGCCCAAGATCGCCCAAGAGGGCCCCAAGACGGCCCCAAGAGGGGTCCATGAGGGGGAACACGAACGGACAATGCGAGCCTTCCGCCCCAAGAGGCCCCCAGGAGGCCCTAAGAGGCCCCCAGCAGAGCCCTAAGAGGCCCCCTAGAGGCTCCTTGAGGCCACAAAGAGGCCCAAAAAGAGGCCCCAAGTGTACCCCAAACGGCCCCCAAGAGGCCTCCCAAATTGCCTTCAAGAGGTTTCCAAAACTGCCTCCAAAACATGGCATAGCAGTGCATTGCATTGCATTGCATTGCATAGCCCAGCATGCCGTGTCTGTACATACCATGCAACGCAGCAGCATCGCTCCTCTGAGGAAACATAGCACGATATGACTCAGCGGTTCATCCCGTGTATCATTATAGCATTCCCCAGCACAGCATGGCATGGCATGCAATGCGCACTGTAGAGTGTATCATGATATTGCATTGCATACTGCATCGTGACATTGCGATTTATAGCTTAGCATGATGTATCATGGCATTCTATAGCATAGTGCAACATGGCGCTGTAGCACTGCATTTTTCCTGGCCCATAGCTTGGCGACAGATCACTGGTGGACCAGCCGGTGAGAGCGGAGGAGGAGGAACGAGGAAGAGGCAGGAGGAAACGGATGTTGACCACATTATTCATGACCGCCTTATCGCTCCCAATGCGATCAGCATTCGAGTAGCTAGAACCTAAGCGCGCGCGAAGCGCGCGCGTGGTTCTAATGTATATATATATATATATATATATATATATATATATATATATATATATATATCACATATATATATATATAACATATATATAGAGATGTTGTGTATTCATACACAGATATTAAGCAAATAGGCCGGGCCCTCTCCCGGCGCGTCCTCCACCTCGATGATATTTGGACCACGCTCCCGGTACCGCGCTTCCTGGCCTCCTGCTCGGATCCGAGAGGACTCCGAAACCCCCCAGAGGCCCCCAACACACCCCAGATTTTTGAGAGGCCCCCAAAAAAGCCCCGACGAGGCCCCGAAAACAGCCCAAGAGAGCTCCGAGAGCAATCCCGAGAGAGCCCGAAGAGGGTTAAATCGTTGATTTGCAAAGGTTCTTCTATGTTTTTCGCCTTTCACGTTTTCCCGCTTCCGACGCTCAAAGACCGAGGAACTTGAAAAAAAGTGGATTCCAGAGATCCCCCCTCTTTCTCAAGTTAGGACTCATACTCCCTATCCTCTTCCTCGAGCCCCATCAAGACTTCGGGGTCATATGCAAAGATTTTCGGGAATACGGTTGAACTCTCTGACGCTGTCTTGGCACTCTCGTGGATCGTCTTCGTGTCCTCTTGGTTGCCCCTGAAACCACTGTAGAAATCGAGATCCCATGATCCCATGAGTTGAAAAAAAGGTTGTTTTAGATTCCGACTCACCCCCAGCTCATTTTTGCAAGAAGACCCCGAGAGGCATCCCGACAGACCGTGGCCTGCATCCAAAAGAATCTAACCCACAGCCCAGGCACGACAACTTAAGAAAAAAAGGCGATCCCACAATTCCTTTTTTTCAAGTTCGCCTTCCCTGTCTACTCTTGCACAACAGACCACAAGTCAGCCCCCCCCCGCTCCCAGAAAAAAACCCAGGAAGCCTTTGAGGGCCCGAAACATTTGAAGACCTTACGGAAATTAGTTGTTTGTTCTGCGTTTCCGCAGTTCCCCTTTATGCGATTCCGAGGCTTGCGCAGGGCCTCCCAGAGTCCTTGGATGCAAGAGTCGACAAACATGAGATTCCATGTGCTAGCCCATCAAGCCTAGCTAGAACTTTAGCGCGCGAATCGCGCGCGATGGTTCTAGTACGTGTGTGTAAATATATGTATATATATACATACATACAGACATACATACATACATAGGGCTCAGTTTTTCAAACGTTAGTGCTCTAAGTTGTAGCGCAGCCGCCTCGATAAACCGATGTGCATCCATGGACATCGGGCTCAAGTGCATAAATTTGCGGCTAGCCCGCATGCAGCTTGCCCTTCTTTCCAACTATTGGAGTATATTTTCTCGAGGCTGGGAAGCCTCTCAGACAGTCAGAAGTGTGCTGGCGCCCGTGGTGGCAAACACAGGCGAGTGCGTAGCTGTGCTGGACCTCTTCGGCGGCGCTCGTGGCCTTGCGAGTACCTCGTTCATCCTTGGTTTCATCCTGGCGAGTGCTCTGTGCTGCGGGTGTCTCCATGGCTGTGGAGGCCGGCGGGAGGCTGCTCGTGCAGTGGAGGGATGGGCAGGACTGGCAGGCCCGCGTCGCCATCGCCCCCGCCACGGCCGACGAGCTGCTGACGATCATGGAGGTTCAAGCGACTCCCGATCAGATAGCGGCTGGGAAGGTCTGGTGGTGCGGGACGCCGGACGGCGACGCCTACCCTCAATGCCTGGACGTGGGGCCGCTCAGCGGGTTGATCCTGTGCGACGACGCGGGCCGACCCGATCGAGCGACCCTCCTCGGCAGCCGGCTCACCAACCGCATTCGCGTGTATGGCACGGACTGGAGCGCCACGCCGCTGGAGTTCGCCAAGATGATCAAGCTGTCCCTTGGCGACCAGTGGCAGGAGCCAAGGTTGGGAGCAGCGGCAGCTGGGGGTGGCGTGGCGGCGAATCTGATTGAGGTCGGCTCACGATCGCTACCGACGCCGTCGCCCGACGGCTGGCAGGTGGTCTGGAGCACGGGCGCCACCCCCCGCAAGTCGCTGCTGAGCAGCTTGAATGTGGGCGAGTTCGCTGTCTGCGACGTCGGTGCCCTCGCTGTGAGAGGCCCAGAGGTGCTGCTGCTGCGGAGGAGCTCGGTCGCCGATGACGACCTGGACTCAGACGCGCGCGTGCTCAGCATCATCCAGAGCTCGAGTGGAGAGAGACGGCGACCGTTCAAAGATAGCGTGAGGGAGATGACCGAGACAGGCTGGGCGGCGTGGTCGATTCTCGGCCCCAGGACCGCGCGGTGGTGTCTCGACTTTATTGCTGAGCAAGACACCCACCCCCGCGCGCGGCACACGAAATGGAGACATGAAGCGGGGGTGGGTGGCCAGGATGTTGGTTGTCAGGACCACGAGCTGGCGATGAGAATGATAGAGTTGGCCGTGGTCTACGACCAGCTCAACATCACGGAGCTGGCGAGTTTCGAGCTCCTGTTGAGGAGGGCGCAGCTCGCGGAGATGAGGTATCGCGACAAGATCTTGGGGAAGCGTGGTGGAGATGGGTTCGCCGAGGACGAGTTCCTCTACATGGGGACAGGCCTCGCGCGCGGGCTGGCGATGGTGAGCCCGG